CACATCATCGCTTAGCTTGCAGCTGTACTGCGTCCTGACGACGTGCACCCTCGCTCTTTCCTTACAATTTCTCTCACCACTCTCACCACCTCACACTCCCACACTCACCGCCACTTTCCTGATGCCCTCGTCATCACTGCTAACGCCGCACAGAGCCACCAACGACAGCAACGAAGACGGACACGACCAGATCGGCTCCACCAGCTCCACGCCACCGGGTGCCACGACACCCAAGCCCGACCCGACGGACAAGCGACTGCCGGGTATTCTGCACAGTTACTTTGGCCAGGTTCGTGATTCTCTTATGCCCTCGCGGAAGTCCTCCTCCACGGTCAACCCCTCCCCCGCACCCGTCACTTCTCAGGTCTCGGACCCCCGAGAGAAGGAGCAAGAGTCAACCACCCACCCCAGCATGCTGCCCAGCCCCGCCCCCAGTGCCTCTTCCCGAACTCCCTCAACCTCGCAGTTGGCTGGTGAAGCGGAGAAGCTAACGCAAGGCGATTTTGCGCCGTTGCAACAGGCTACACCTCCCCAGACACCGCGCACCCGCTCCCAAGAAGCAAAGCCCGTGCCCTCGAATCTATCCCGCACCTCAAATGCGTCCGACGAATCCAAGGAGAGCAAGACGGCTCCCGTAGTGGCGCCCAAGGGCAAGCTCTCAGTCACAATCTCTGAGGGACGGGGTCTGCGGCCTAGCACAGACCCCTACGTTGTCTGCCAATTCCAATGGGCTGAGTACATCTCAGACGGGCCTAGGCACGATGAGTCGAAGCGACCGCCCATGCAGATGAAGCGAACCGAGAGCCAAATGGGCACTCCAATGGCCATTCCCATGAAGAGCCGACAGAGCAGCAACAGCGGCCACAGCTCAGATCCTAGGGAGAACGGCTCCCTGGAAGAAGTGACGAGCCCCAAGTGGGAGCACGAAGCCATGTTGTGAGTAGCTCCTTCTCTTCCCCGTGTGGTGATGCTGACAATCGTAGTGATGTTGTGGGCGACCATGCTGAAATCGACGTCTCCGTTTACGACCGCGCCAACGGTGAGGCTTTCCTCGGCCACGTCCGCTTCTGCCCAAACCTCGTCGAATACAGCGAGCCATACGACGGCTGGTTCCCGCTAGAGCCCCGAGAGGGCGAGGGAGGTGTTGTTACCGGAGAGATTCACCTCAAGCTCAACTTCCAAAAGGTCGAGAAGAAGCATTACGGCCCCGAAGACTTTGAGATTCTCAAGCTCATCGGAAAGGGCACATTCGGTCAGGTCTTCCAAGTACGCAAGCGCGACACTCGCCGCATCTACGCCATGAAGGTGCTTTCGAAGAAGGTCATCGTGCAGAAGAAGGAGGTGGCACACACACTGGGAGAACGCAACATCCTCGTCCGGACAGCCATGGCTGATTCGGCATTCATCGTTGGACTGAAGTTCTCCTTCCAGACACCCTCAGATCTATACTTCGTCACTGACTACATGTCGGGAGGCGAACTCTTCTGGCATCTCCAGAGGGAAGGCCGCTTCCAGGAGGGTCGTGCCAAGTTCTACATTGCAGAGCTTATCCTTGCCCTGCAACATCTGCACGAGCACAACATCGTGTACCGCGATCTCAAGCCCGAGAACATCCTCTTGGACGCCAATGGCCACATCGCCCTTTGTGACTTCGGTCTGTCCAAGGCTAACCTCACCGAGAACGCCACCACCAACACATTCTGCGGAACCACAGAGTACCTCGCACCCGAGGTCCTTCTGGACGAACACGGTTACACCAAGATGGTCGATTTCTGGTCGCTCGGAGTGCTAGTCTTCGAGATGTGCTGTGGATGGAGTCCTTTCTACGCAGAAGACACCCAGCAAATGTACAAGAACATCGCATTCGGAAAGGTCAGGTTCCCCCGGGACGCCCTCAGCACTGAAGGTAGGAATTTCGTCAAGGGACTTCTCAACAGGAACCCCAAGCACAGGCTTGGTGCCACACGCGATGCCGAGGAGCTCAAGGCTCATCCCTTCTTTGCCGACATCGACTGGGAGGCTCTGGGCAAGAAGAACGTGGTACCACCATTCAAGCCCAAGCTCAAGGGAGAGCTCGACGTTTCCAACTTCGACCCCGAGTTTACTAATGCTCTCAACGGTGCTGGCTCTTTGAACGCCCGCGCGGCTGCCCTGGCCTCCGGAGTCAACCCCGCATCCACGCCACTGTCACCGACTATGCAAGCAAACTTTGCTGGCTTCACCTTTACCGACCAGAGTACAATGGAGCAGCAATTCGGAAACGACAGACAACGGACCGACGCCCTGGAGCGAATGGACGAGGATGAGACGGACGAAGTCAACTGGGACCGACCTGCTGGACGCGGAGATAGGATGTCCGGTATCGTTCCCAGCAACGAGCACGATGTCTTCAACCAAGGCCAATTCGATGTATGATGAGCACATGCTCATACACGCAGCCTGCTCTTCTATACCTAGGTTCCTCCAGGACCTGACAAAAAGTTTCTGCTTTGTTCTATCTTACCGGTACATGGCGGTACTATTCGTATAGTCTTTTCTTGGATACCCGGAGCCTACCACACAGGACTTGGACTGCGTTCAAGTCCTTCACTAATTTGCCCCATCGGTTGCTGCTGTCACGACCTCACGCATGGTCATTACGACACAGCCTATGCCGACAAGGACCTGACGCAGCGTCCGACTGATTACGATTACAAGATTTCCCAGAATGAGTTCAAGTTGCTGCGGTCTCCCACGCTACAGTAAACACGATGTTTTCTTTGCTGGGCTATGGGTTTGCATTGCGCTGGTGCATTGCTTTCGCTTTTTCATCCAATGTGGGAGTTAATGGCACTATGTCGAGTTCAGGCTGTTTCTTCCCGTTCTTTGTGCATTATGCGCGCGTATCTGCACGGGTTTTCCTCTTTTCTTCTTTCTGCGAGTTCGGCATATATCTAACGACATGGATTCATACGCATCGTTATATCGAGGGGATATGGATAGTGGTATGATGGATATGGGCGAGCCTTTTTGTACATAAAGATATGAGACATTAAGTTTACCTGTTCACATCGTCGTCCTGGTTTGGCACTATTACGGTTGATGTCACGAACACGTCTTTGCGCGTTTTCTTATTCGTTCTATGCTAACCACCTCTTACCCGCTGTCGCTTCCTCGGGTTCATCCCACACCTCCATCATATCCAACCACTCCAGTGCGAACGCACCCACAATCCTCGCCCAATCCCTCACCGTCGCCCCGTCCAAATGCTCTCCATCATCCTCCATCGTATGCCATACCCCCGGAAACGGACTGGGTATCACATGCAATATCTCCACGCCCTTCGCCATAAACGGCAGATGGTCATCCGAAATCCCCCCATGCCCCATTGTCCCATTTACATCCGGTAAGAAGGGTGTGGAAGGAGATGATTCCAGCAGGTTCAAACTGCGCAGTCGGGACTCGACGGTGGAGAGGTGTACATACGCCCAATGGGTGGTGGGAAAGTAGGATGGGACGCGTGGGTCTGCGGAACCGAGCAGGTCAAGGAGAAGGAAGAGGCTGATTTGCGAGAGGGGAGTGCGGTTTTGGTAGAATTTTGAGGCGGGAGAGGGGGGGTTGAAGGTCGTGGACCAGTGGGTTGCTAGGGCTCTGTTTGGTTATTTTAGTATAACCATTCCATGGAGTTTCCTCTTTCCTCTTTTCCCGATATGAATTGAGACGGGAGAAACGTACCTCGCGCCATACAAACTATCACTATCACTCCACGTCTCAAACGCCTCCTCGCCGTCTAAAAACACTATCTGGATACCCATGTCCATATCCACGTCCCCGCCCTCTCCTAACGCACTCATCTCCTCGTACATCCGCGTTATATGTGGATCTAGCACGCGTGCTACATACATCAACATAGCGCACGGCGCCGCACTATCCGTCGCCCCAATAAACCCATCCGGATGCAATTTACTGTCATAGTGCGCAACGAGCGTGAGCAAGTTCGATTGTCCCGGTGCGACCCAAGGTGGTTCTCGGCGCGCCATGAGGTTGGCGAAGGGGAGGGGTGTGCTGGATGTGGGGGTCACGGAGGTGCTGTTTTGCCAGGTTAGGTTCCAGGCTGGTAACTCTTTTGTGAAATACGAGAAGAGGTGGTGTTGCGCGAGGGTTTGGCCAGGGGTGCCGGGGACGCGCGGGATGAGCAGTGGGGAGAGGAGGGAGCTGTCTTTTGCGTCGAGGGTGTTGTTGGGGGAGGGGAGGGCGCGGAGGAAGGCGTCGGACAAGGGTTTGTAGGCGTGTGTTGAGGTGAGGGTGAGGAGGAGGGGGAGGAGGAGGGGGAGGAGCGTGGCGGGTAGCGTGAGGAGCATCGTGGGTGGTGGGTGGTGGGAGTCGATGGAGGAGCGCGTGCGGTTCGTCGTGTTGTGTACCAGAGGGTGTCTGTACGTCGAATGCGGCGTAGAATCGCGTCGTCTCGCTCGCGGGCGCAGAAATGGAAGCCGCCTTCGGGGTATGAACAAAGTCCAGGTAACCGTACGAGGTCGAACCGCAAGGGATATGGAGACGAACAGCTAAGGTCGCTCCTCCTAAAGGTGCCAGCCTCTTTCTCGTTCTCCTCAGTCCCCTTCCCGTTTCATCTCTATCCCGCGGTTCCAAGTGAAACGTTTGCGCAAGTTAGCCCTACTCCATCAGGCAAACACCGAAGAGCCATGAAGCCAGAAGGCGGAGTTGAACCATGGTGTTGCGTTGTGTGCGTCAGTTTGGTCCCTGATGGGGCGGAGGCGCGCGCATCCCTGTCACGCACGTGAGCTGCACGTTCATCTTATCTGATTGATTGTGTGTCTGGATGGGGAAGCGCTGTAGTGACGGAGGATCTAGCCGTTCTAGGCGGGGTGGAAGTATGCATGTCGGATGTCTAACTGAAGAGCTTAAGACGGTATGCGCTTAGGTCTGGACTTGGTATAATTGATATATACTACTAGTTGTAAGACCTACACAGATCCAACGTCTTCAGCCAAGTAAATACTACCCTACAACTTCGCCTTTCCCCCCTCACACTTCACCAACGCCCTCCCGTTCGTAAGCACCGTCTTCCCGCCCTCAACCTTGACCACAAACCTCACCTCCTCGAACCCATCCTGATCGCGATCCCCCGTCCTCCACATCTCCGTAATCAGCTTATCACCCGGCTTAACCGGCGCCGCGAACCTCGCCTGGAACTCCTTGAGGTTCTCAGGCTTGGATGCACCGAATGCCTTCAGAATAGCGTGGGCAGACATGTTCCACGAGAAGAGGCCGTGGATGATGGGGCCGCCGAAACCCATTTTCTTGCCTGGCTCCGGGTCCGCGTGCAGCGGGTTGTAGTCGCCATTCAGGCGGTAGAGGTGGGCGGTTTCCATGGTGGTTTGGTGGATGTGTGTGCTATCGGGAGCGCGGGACGGCGGGGGGTAGTTTGGTTGCTTGGGGCCTGTTGTGCGTTAGTCTTATGTTACACTGTCATGCCTACTCCATCGCGAGCACGGCAAGGGTCAAGGAGAAGGGAAAGACATACCCTTCGGACCACCCCAACCACCCTGACCAACATAGAAGCCACTGCCAACAGCTCTACTATACGTCTCCCCCGTCTTCGCATCAACAAGCCTGTTCTCCGTCTCGACAACGGTTGCCTTGCCCTTATCGTATACACCCAGCACCTTGCTTCTGATCTCGAACTTGCGGCCTTCGCTGCTCACGGGCAGTGGCTTGAAGAATTGTATCTTGCGCTCGCCGTCGAGGACGTGCTTGGTGTCGAACTTGGGGACGCCTTCGATGGGCTCGGCATTGCTGCGCGCGTAGAAGTCGATGACTTCTTGGTCCGTGTGCTTGAAGGGGAGGATGATGGGGTAGGTTGGGAAGGCCGCGAAGGATGGGTGCAGTTCCTGAGGGTGGTGTTAGAGGTGTTGGATAGCTCGGGGGATTGCGCTTGGGATGTATGGTTCAGGCGTGTGAGAGCTGTGATGGAGTTGCTTACGTAGAGGAAGTGCAGCTCATCCGGGTAGGTTGCGCCAATGCTGTTCGCGAAGAGCAGGAGATCGCGCTTGAGCCAGGACACCTCATACGAGGGAAACTCGAAGCCGACGCCGGGACCTAGTTCTTTGCCCATGATGAAGTTGGTAACGATTACACAATGTGTTGGGTATTGGAAGTTTGTACTAGCGATGCGCAATTGCAATGCTCAGATCAAGGGAAAAGAAGCTCAGATGTTGTCGTAAGCTTCAAGGTTCGCAGCGGGGCGGTAATCGCGACGCGGAGCTGAAGTTTGAGCCGAGGTACGATTCGTTCATCCATGGTCAAGACGAGAAACCCCCCAAATGGATTAGTATACATCAACCCTGTTCAAAGTAGATGAAAATGGGTCTTGAAATTCGGCGCCGATGTCGGTATGGATAAGACTTTTACCTTGTTGTGGGACCATGGTAATGTTGTAAACATCGCATTAGTCTATCTACAGTGTCGATGCCTCATTCAGAAGCCAATATTAAGGTGGCACGACTCTTGTCATGCCACCATGCAGATCTAGACAATATACATATGATCCTTCCCATCCCTATCATCCGTCGTAAATGTTCGTGTACCACGACTCCCACAACCCTGCGGTCGGCAAAGTGGGGCCACTGTCCCATACGCCAAGTGTGAAATAATGCAACCTTTTGAGTCTAAGCTGAATCATGGAGATGACTCCCGCAAATGCTCAGAATGCAAGCGAAGGAAGAAATGAAGTTGTGGTGGGTATAATGCGGCAGACAAGGTGTCTACTGCTTGACTTCGTAGGAGCGGCGGAACATGCCGTCAACGCCGGTGAGGTAGTAGGTGCCGGGAACGATGGTGTCAACGCTTCCCTTGGGGGTGAAGTCCTTCTGGAGGTGAGCCTGCTCACGGAGGTTGCACATCTGGTAGGAATGTTAGTGGGATGTTCTGTAGCAATCTAGAATTCGAAGACTTACCTCGTCGTAAACCTCAGGGGCGACTACACGCCTCTTCTCGAGACGGTTTTGGATGTCGAGCTGCTTAGCAATGTTCTCGGTGCTGCCCTTCACGGTGAAGGAGAACAGAGATGAGGCCAGACCACTTCCGTAGCTGAACATACCAATGCGCTTGCCCTCGAGGTCCTGGCTGCTGATGTTGGCGAGCAAGCTGCACAAGCTACCGTAGACACTGCCGCAGTACATGTTACCGCACTGGGTCGGGACCTGGATGCTGGGCTGGACGCGAGCCGCATAGCGCTTCTTAGCAAGACCCATAAAGGTCTTCTCGACGGTCTTGTCGCTGACAGAGGTGGCGTAGTCCATGTCGCGAAGCTCAGCGGGAACCTCGGCGAAGATGGGGTTGGAGGGGTTGGCGAGATAGTCGTTGTAGAGCAGACGCGCGTACGACTTGGCGACGAGCTTGCAGGTAGGTGCGTGGAAGGCCATGTAGTCGAAGCGGTCGAGAGCAGTCTCGAGCTCGCTGCTGCCGTTTACACCGTTTCCATTTTGTTGCGACTTGAGAGTCTTCTCGCGCTCATTGTAGGCCTTGTAGCAGGCGTCGACAGCCTCGGTGTAGCAGCGGACGGAGAAGTGGCCGTCGACGACGGGGTACTCGCTGGTGAAGTCGGGCTTGTAGAAGTCGTAGGCGTGCCTGATGTAGGAGCCGCGCTGGCCAGCGTCCATAACAATGGGCGCGTTGGGGCCAATGAGCATGGCGACACATCCAGCGCCACCAGTCGGGCGAGCGTTGCCCTTCTTGTACAGCGCAATGTCTCCAGCGACCACGACGGCGTCACGGCCGTCCCAGGCCGACGACTCCATCCAGTTGACGGAGTTGAAGAGGGCGTTGGTTCCTCCGTAGCAGGCGTTGACAGTGTCAACACCCTCGATGTTGTAGTTGCCAGACTCCTCGAAGAGCTGCATGAGCACAGACTTGACCGACTTGGACTTGTCGAGCAGAGTCTCGGTGCCGACTTCGAGGCGGCCAATGCTCTTGGGGTCGACATTGTACTTCTTGAAGAGCGAGGTGACGGTGGTCAGGGCGAGCGAGTAGATGTCTGGGTGGAGCACCTGTCAGTTCCTCTTCTGGGTACACGGGGTCGCGCGAGCAGAAAATCTTGGACTCACCCTCACGGTCGTCGCAGAAGGACATCTTGGTCTGGCCGAGGCCAATGGTGTATTTGCCCTGGGAGACGCCATCGAACTTCTCGAGCTCGGCCTGGTCAACGCACTGTGGGCGAGTTGTTAGTGCGTGTTGGTGTAGAGGGCGTAGTTGCAGCGGGCGCATGTCCATTGGGACGGCGACACCGCCCACGACAGCAACAACGTACCTGGCTGGGGAAGTAAAGCTCAATGGCCTTGATACCGATGTTGGAGGGACGAGCAGCCATGTTTGCAGGATTGTATCGTGTTGTGTGAGGAGCAGAAAGGGAGTGTGTTGGCGAGGGAGGGGAGTTCACCGCCTTAAGTACTTGACGAGTAAATCCTACGCGACAATGGCAAGGTGCAGTTTAGTAGCGGCAATCAGTTTCGTGGCAATGCTAGCACGCCGTGGGTACAGGGCTCCAAAGGGGACAAGTAACGGGTTTTGTGCAGACCTAGCACTCAACAATCCTAACAGCGGCCCACGCGCTCCCAGTGTTGTGTCTGCTAGTCTCTGAGATTTTCGGTACATTCTTCTCGGGGCATTCAGGGTCTGGCTGCGAGGCCGGCGGCATGGCGGGGCATTCGTCTGGCGAAAAAGAAACGCCTGCATGCCGCCTTGCTCGCTTCGTCCCAGCTGCATGCTCTGCGAACGTATATCTTCACTTCACTTCATCGCGCCCCCAGCATCGTGAGTTGGCCCTTTTCCACCGGGCGGAGGACGTACGCCCTCGACGACCTATCGCCGTGCTCCTTGGCATGCAGGGATTTACTAGCTAGTCAGGAACCATCAGCCCATCACAACAAGTCCCCCCTAGCAACCTCATCCGCGATACTCGACAAACATGGCTACCTACGTCCTGGCCAGAACACAGCCTCCATGGCATGCGTAATGCCGCGTCACGGTGCTGCGGTATCTTTGTTGGATGAGGGAGTGCAAGGTATCTGATAACATCAGACGAGAAGGCCGTCATTGCTTTGGACCCGAGTTGCCCATTGTGCTGAGGGCATCACACATCCTCAGTAGAACTCGGCCGAAAATGAGGGCATTCGCGTTTAGCCAGACTGCTGCCTAGATTCCCGCGGTCGCTATCTACGACCTACTTGGTGGGCGGGATGATTTTGATAGGTAGTAATCCACCGAGATCACTTGGCTTCTTCTATGGAAGGTGGTATCGCAGATGCATATAAACTCTAAGTTCAGCTTGCAGTCGTGTTCTCAGACGATCAATGACAAAAAGCAGTTCAGGAGCATCCCAAGTCGGATAAGGGATGTCAAGCACGGCCCAGACTTCAACTGACGAATGGAATTGATCCAAGTATCCGGGAGTGGCGTTAGGATGAGAACAACTGACGTTATAGGTATGCATTTTCGGGTGAATTGATATCCCCATAGCCGCATGTCGGAGCCCAGGCTGAACCTTGAACTGCAGCGGGCGAACAGGCTGGGCCATCCTAGGCATTCCTCGCCGTTGTCATCATGGCCCTAGGGTTGACATGGGCTCCCCGATGCAGAGCATAAGTACATAAGTACCATGTGCCCGGTTCGCTCTCCAACTTTATTATCCAAAATGTCGTATGGTGACAGGGCATCAACACTCCTATCCAAAGCTTCTTTCTAGGAGCGGGAGCGGAGTCACTGACGATCAGGCGGATGACAGCACACGGGACCTGAGCAGCTCTGAGCAGAAAGATGGCACTGCAGCAATCGCTACCTTCATCGCCTGTCACAACGAGTCCCATATTGTCAGTACGTATTACAGTTCGGGAAGCTATGCAAAACCGAATGTCCACCGCCATGTCGATGTCGCGGACCAGATGACAGCCTCAACCACGATCCCGGATGCACCATGTCATAGTCGGGCACCATGCCTAATAGCTGTTTTAAATAAGTTCTGTCTGATCAGAAAGAAGCACTTTGCCCGACGGTAGGGAAGATGGGCCCGGGCCAATCGACTGGTGGCATATCGTAGAGCCTGCGATCCCGTGCATGACGCTGAGTGCACGTGAATATGATGCAGAAAGGCGGCAGAGCACATGAGGTAAGGCCAGGTCGTCCTAATGTAGCTCTATATTAATGCGAGAGGGGTGAAAATGAACTCGCAGCGACTCAAGAACGACGGGAGGAAATCAAGCGCAGAAGGTGCAGGTACATAGCAGAAACTAAAGTGCACATGTCAGAAGCTTGATGAGTTGGTCAGAGAGCCGAAGGATGCGATGTCGAAGGGGTGCTTATCGATGTTCAGGCTTGGGTGTTCGCCCGTGCGCCGTTTAGTGGCGCCAGCGTCTCAGGACAACCTCTGCCAAACCTGATACAACCTCTCGACACTACCAACGACACGACACGACACACGCCAATTCTCGCCACATTCGCTACCCGCGCGACGCTCATCGCTACCGATCGCGCACTACCTCGATTAATTCTTTGACGACACGCCTGCTTTGCCATCGGGGAGGACTGTAAGGGGGACCAGGAAGGGCCTTTGGGGCTCAGGGACCGTTCGGCGTCATGGACCGACGCAGCAGCGACAACAACGAAGCACCGCGCCAGCCGAGCAACCCCGATGTCTTTGACGACGACTACGAAATCGACCCCGACGAGGATGATTTCATGCCCTCCGTCTCGGATGGCTTCCGACCAGCCAACGCGAGCCAGCCCTGGCAGGGCGACCGCCAAAATCACGACCGGATAGACGCGCTGCAACGACAACCATCGACATCGAAGGCGCCCGAGAATCACCAGAGCGACCTGCGAAGGACGGCAACGCGAAACAGCACGGCCAAGGTGCGGGATTCGATGACGCAAGACGGTGGCCGACCGCCCCTCAACCGAGGGCCCAGCCACCACAGGCCCCTTGGACATCGCGACTCTGTGAGCTCTGCGGGATCCTTTGCGACGACGAGCAATTCCGAGAACCCGTTCGAGACGGGCCCGAGCCATCCATATGGCATGTACCCGCAGCTATCAATGGCACGGCCACTCAGCGTAGCAACGAGCTCTACAGAACGCCAACCACATCGATCAATGTCACTGCAGCGGCCGACACATCCCTATGCTATGTACTCGCAAAGCGGCATTGTCGACGAAGAGTCACCGGACGAGCCAGCCCAGCCACCTCCACCTCAGGTCCAGTCGACTATTCCCGTAGGATTTCCGGGCCTGAACAACGGTTACCACAGAGTGCTTGGGCCGGATGGCGAGGAGCAGGATATCATCGGACCCGACGGACACACCGAGCAGCTGCCACCGTACTCGAGATATCCAGAGGAAGGACCCACCAAGGCTTCTTTGGCAGCCGAGGCAAGCGCGTCGTCGCGTGTCATACCCGCGCCCGTCCAAGTTGACGCAGAGGATCCTTTCAACACACCCGCATCTCCTGTCTCGCCGATGAGCACTACCTCGTTCTCGCCCTCCCCTCTACCTGTCGTTCCTTTACTACCGTCTGTCACACCCGCCCGGTTGCCACCTCAGAGACCGGAAACCCAAACCGGCAATCTTGCGGCTAACAACTCTGCCGCTGCACAAAGCAGTACCGTACCAGCAGAACCCTCTGACTCGTCCTCGGCATCTCTACTGGCGTCTGAGAACCACTTCTCGGAGAAGGCGGAGCCAGTCGAAGGCAAGGTCAGCTGGCGTAAGAGGAAACTATGGGGAAGGGTGCCTATGGGCGTCGCGCTTGTGGTTCTTGTCCTTATACTAGTATTCTCTGTCGCCCTCGGAGCAGCCATTGGTACCTTTGCTGCCAAGAAACACAATGATGATGACGACCAGAATGAAAATGGCAGCCCTCATGAGGAAGCGTAAGTGCTCACGATCCATCAACGAAAACATCTACTAACTCTCGCTAGACAACCGCAGGTTACGGGTCAAAATGGATCGCTTTTCGACGCCGTTCCCATCTCAACACCGTCTGGCCTCTTGCCGCTACCAACAGGATCCTTCGCCCTTCCTCTGGGCTTACCGCAATACGGACAGTCGGGATGCTTAACACAAGCAAATCAGTATTCTGCATGGTCATGCAGGATGACTTTCGCTCCGCTTGTCATAACTATCAATGATACCGTCATTGGTGGTGAGATTCAACAAGTTGCGTCCATGGGTAGCGGACCTTCGGTGCCGTCGAACTCTATACTATATGGCCTCCAGACTCCTGTGCTTGATACTAAGCCGATGGAGTTGGTACTTGATTTGGATTTCAAAGCCTACGGTCCAGCCTATCATTTTTCTGCTCGATACGATAAGCTAGTCATCTTGTCACCCACCGAGCTCAGTACCGGGTCAGGACTCTCAAAACGACAAGATGAGAAATACAGACAGCGCTTCAAGGTTCAACCTGGTGATACGCCCTGGTATTGCTATTGGAACGAGACATACATCGAGGGCTACATCTACGCTGACGACAACTCGACGGCAGCCACATTTACCTCGTTCCCTACCCAATGGCCCACGCCTACACCCACGCCCGACCCAACCGACGATGCGGCTGTAAATGTTGCTGTCGCTGTGCCGACTGAGAGTAGTGTCTCTACCAGCTCTACACAAACTACTACCGCGTCTCCAACGAATTCCCCTGTCAACCTGGCCGCCCCGTCACCCGTTCGCGCTCGAGATTCCGAGTCAGATGCTTCTTCAGCCCCTCGCATGGCACCTTATCCCCGGATCGTCAAGATAGAAGAACGCCGGCTCCCTGGGGCGTCACAACCATACTGTCAACAGATGCTCATGCTCGATAACGGCGAGATAGTAACATCACCTAGCCCGAACGACAGCCCAATCAGAATATGGCTACAAGAGTCAGATCCCAGCTACGAAGAGTACTTTGCCGCTCAACCTTCGCAAACCATCACATTCGACAGGAAGAGCAAGCGCGAGAACCTTGTTGATCTTCAACGCCGCGTAGACCCTGATGATGCTTGTCACTGTCAGTGGATGTTCAAGTAAACGACGGAACTGGTTTAGAGCGCTTCTTTTCTTCTTGCAACGATGTCACAGCATGATTGTCGATCTCATTTCTTCTCCACACGGGTACTGGGTCCATTTCACCTGTCTGGTGTTCCACGGCGTTTTGTTAATATTGACTTACGAGTCTCTACGCATCACTGGCATATTTCGGTTCCTTTTTCACTCATCTCTTTTTGTCTAGTCAAACATGTAGCATGCTATGTTTATAGCTTTCGCATTTCTGTATCGTCTATGGGACGGAAAGTAGGCCTTGTGTTTTGGAGGCTACACTGGCGCATATTGTCGCGGCGCTGCTTCTGTACATATTGCCATGGGGGGAGTTCAGAACCGCGAGTACAAATTTCGCGTGAGTTCATTATTGGAAAGGGATAGATAGAAGAACAACATTAGTTATATTGTAAGGGTTTCTGTTGATGTTGGTACTGTGATGCTCATGCTGATTTAACAGCAAACGTCAACAACACCATGAATGCTGTCTAAATGCGTAATCTATTCTATACAATCTGATTTCGCTGCAATCCAACAAAAGAAGTTCGCAATCATGCCTCCGGCCCCCTCTCAAAAACCCTAACCCCAAACTTCCACACCTCATCCACCACAAACCTCTTCTCCCCATCCTCATTCTCCTTCAAATCCAACACGCACAAATCCGCATCAGCACCCTCATCCAAACAGCCCTTGACCCCCTCCAACCCCAACATCCGTGCAGGCGTCTCCGTAACCGCCCTAAGAGCCTCCGGCACCGTACTCCCGGTCCAATTCAAAAAGTTACTAACGCAATCCACAAGCTGAATGCTACTCCCCGCAATCTTCCCATTCTCCTCAAGGGTGAGAAGGGGACCTTGTTTAATAATCTTGGACCCGTTCGTCCACTCATACGTCCCATCCGGCATACCCGCCAACCTCATCGCATCCGTCACCAGCACCAGCCCGTCTGGATGCGCGTTCCACGCTATCTTGATGGATGTGGGATGGAGGTGTATGCCATCCGCAATAATCCCGAAATACGGTTTGGTGATTGAGGAGGAGGGTGTGCCCAGCAGACCGAAGATACCAGGGTTACGGTGGTGGAGGGGCCGCATGGCGTTGAAGAGGTGCGTTATCATACTGCATCCGGCTTTCACCGCGCATTTCGCTTCTTCGTACGTGGCTTCTGAGTGCCCGATTGAGACGCGGATCCCATGGGAGGTTAGGGATGGGATGCATGATAATGCGCCGGGGAGTTCGGGGGCGAGGGTGATTAGGGAGATGGGCGAGGGGGAGAGCAGGTTCGGGGCCCCGTAGCAGGATTCTAGGCTGCTGATGGAGTCGTCTGGGGTGCGCAGGACGGAGGTGTTGTGGATGCCGTTTTTTGTGGGGGATAGGAAGGGGCCTTCGCAGTGGGCGCCCAGGGATTCTGATCCGAGCGTTGCGTCGCGCGTTGTTCCTGAGGGGCCGAGGAAGGGGAGGGCCGTTTGGTAGACTGACGGGAGTTGGGATGTCAGGGTTGGTAGGTAGGATGTTACGCCTGTTGCTACCAGACTCCGGTTTACACGCGAGACGCCTTTGGCGTAGGCTGATGCGCCGCAATCACGGTCTTCGAGGATTACGGAGAAGTCGAAGCCGTAGGCGCCGTTTAGTTGCGTGTCGATGAGGCCGGGGGAGAGGATGCGTCCGCCCAGGTCGACGATTTGCTCTGGGGCGGTGCGGTATGAGTAGAGGATTTCTTGGCCGTTCAGGATCTTTCCGGTGGCGGAACTAATCCAGAGATCTTGGGGGACTAGGGCGTTGTTTTTTACGAGGAGGCAGTTTGTGAACTTTATCACGCCTGATGAGTCCTCTCGTATGGGGGAGTCGGGGATTGGCACGATTGAAGGCATCGTGGGTCGTGTCAAGAGGACCAACGAAGGAAGGAAGCTTGCCAAGTATAACGATAGAAGTATAGAAATGTGATTCAGAAATGAGAATGATAGGATGAAATGGATGGTTGGTACTGCGCAGGCGCGACTCAACAACCGTTGCAAAGGATCTGTCGCCTACCTACTACTTCTATCGCAACTGCATACCTACGCTCATCTTCCTACGATGATGCCATTGAGTCATCACGGCCGGGCAAACTTGCCTTCCATGGCCGGTATCGTTGCCGTGGAGCGCACGCTGTAAGACTGCGCAAGGTGACTGGATGTGGATTCCGACGTCGTGAGATCGAGGTAACACAGCGATGATCACGTTCCGCCGAAGAAACCGGATGCATCGCGGTTGCATGTGAGGTGGCATCAGAGTGGATGTCGCTGATAGCAGAGGGACGAGGATGGTGTAACGACGGACGGGGGTGCATGCTTCTAGCGCCTCGCTAATCACGTACCCCAGCCGCGAACAGCGTGAATGCTACGGTGCCATCCTCCCCATCTCCCATCCACCATTACCGATCTGCGAGTCACGCCGGCGGAGTCTTGGTGCCCACCCGGAAATCCCACGTCGCATCCACAGACTTCATTGCGACGCGACGCGACCGGCGCTGTCATTATGAGCAAGGTCGAAAACATGGACCCTGTCTGGGATGACCTCGATAGGTGAGCTTCGCGTCGGGCGCACTTCCTCCTCTCAGGCTTCCTGAGGTTTGCGCAATGTGACCACAGGTCAGGCTAACTTGCCCGTGATGCAGGACTATGGTGGGTCGCTTCCGCCCATGCTGCGACTGGATTCGCTGACAAAGGTGCTGTAGGGCCAACTGTTCATGATGGGCTTCGATGGCACCTCGGTCACTCCTCACATTCGTACCCTGATCGAGGAACATCATGTTGGCTCCATACTACTTACTGCCAAGAATTGCAAATGTTGGTAATCCACCTTTTTCGGTCTGTCACTGTCAGGCTGACCTGTCATAGCTGCCGAAGATACTACTGCGCTTATCTACGAGCTCCAGAAGATTGCCCACGATGCTGGACACCCTGTTCCGCTTGCCATCGGCATCGACCAGGAGAATGGCGGCGTCAACAGTCTGTTTGATGACATCTACATCCGCCAGTATCCTAGTAACATGGGAATGGCAGCAACCGGCTCCACGGACCTAGCCTTTGAAGTCGCTAAGTCGACCGCACAGGAGATTGCTGCATGTGGCATCAACTGGATCTTCGGGCCATGTCTGGACGTACTCACGAATGCGCGCAATCAGCCCCTTGGAGTACGGACGGCTGGCGATGATCCTCAGGAGGTGTCCGCCTTTGGATGCGCTTTTATGGCAGGCTACAAGGACGCTGGCGTGGTGACTTTGGGGAAGCACTTTCCTTCGTACGGCAATCTGGAGTTTCTGGGCTCAACACTTGACGTGCCGATCATCACGGAATCGCTAGAACAACTAAGTCTAAGCGCTTTGGTTCCGTTCAAGAAGGCCATCGAAAGAGGTCTTGATTCCATGATGGTTGGTGGTTGCGCCATGTCCTCAGCGGGGCTCAACGCGATGCACGCGTGTCTGTCGGAACAAGTTGTCGACGACCTTCTTCGGAAAGACCTCAAATTCGACGGTGTAGTGGTTTCCGAGTGTCTAGAAATGGATGCTCTCAGTCACAACATCGGTGTAGGCGGCGGCACGGTCATGGCAGTTAACGCCGGCTGCGACGTAGTCCTCCTATGCCGGTCGTTCTCACTCCAACAAGAAGGGCTGAAGGGCCTCAAGACTGGCATAGAAAGCGAAATGGTCTCGAAGGAACGTATCTTCAACTCACTCAGACGTGTGCTGGCGATGAAGAAGAAGTGCACATCCTGGGAAAAAGCATTGAACCCGCCAGGTATCAACTATCTGGAAAAGCTACAGCCTTCGCACACCGCACTGTCAACGAAAGCGTACAACAGCTCCATCACAGTCGTACGCGACAAGAATAGGCTTCTGCCACTGACGAACATACTCGAAAGCGAGGAGGAGCTTCTCCTACTGACACCATTAGTGAAGCCTTTGGCGGCATCCGCTGCATCACGAGCTATATCCGACGCTGCCAATGGGGCAGCGGGTCACTCGCCCGAGCCAGCTGCTTGGGACCGGAGTTCTTCAGTCATGAGCGGAGAAAGAGTCTTCAAAGAACTGGGTCGTTCTCTTGCTAGACAGCGCAACGGACGACTGCTTCACACATCGTACACTGCGAACGGTGTTCGTCCAGTCCACGAAAATCTCATCAATCGGGCGAGTGCTATTATCGTCCTTACGGCTGACGCAAACCGCAACCTGTATCAGCACGGATTCACAAAGCATGTCTCAATGATATGCAACATGCAGTACACAACTGGTGGAGAGAGGCGTGAGAAACCACTCATTGTGGTCGCAGTTTCCTCACCGTACGACTTCGCAATGGACAACACCATTGGGACCTACATATGTAAGTCATGTCCGTGTCCAAACGAAGGTCAAAGAAGCTAATTTCATCAGGCACTTATGACTTCACGGAGACTGCACTCAACTCCCTGGTCAGGGTACTTTATGGCGAACTATCCCCCTCCGGAACACTACCAGGAACCATCAGCAAGAGCCAAAAGCTTCACCCATCAAAACAACATTGGCTCGTGGAAATATTCAACGAAGAGCGAGACAGTAATGCTCTGGACACATTGGTCACAGCTGTCGCGGAGGAAACGGCACCAAACCAACGGTCGGAGATGTCGAGTGCAACTTCGAGCTCATTCATCCTGCATCATCCAGAAGTGGAGGAGTCACACTTTGTTGTTAGAAACAGCAGCACACAAGCTCTGTACGGCTTCTGCTCAACGTACTTCTTCAAGGCTACGGGCACTGGTGTAATTGGAGCTTTGTTCGTCGACCCAGCAAGGAGAAAGCTCTCCATCGGTCATTCCTTACACAACCGGGCTATTCGCACGCTACTCCAGAAAGAAGGTATCAAGAGATTCCAGCTTGGATCACGCCTGCCAAGTATGTATCTTGGAATCCCAACCGGACACGGAAACGAGCGGAAACGGCTCCGATCATGGTTTGCACAGCTAGGCTGGGGTGCTGCACTCTCCCGGCCTGTCTGCAACATGGTAGCACGTAATCTGCAGACGTGGAATCCGCCGACTGGCATGGCGAAGAGTCTAGCGAGCGCAGGCGCACAGTTTGATCTTGTGTACGGGTGGGACTATGCGGGACCGATACTCGACCACATCAAGACGAGCAACCGCCAGGGTCTAGCAGAGGTGTACAAACTTGCGCTCACTGACCCGACGGCTTGTGGCATCATCCGAGCCAAGCGACCAGAAGACGGTGCGTTGGTGGGAACTGTTGTACTCTACAACAATCACTCACGACTTGCCGAATACATACCTCCGCTGAAGGACCTCAACGAGGCGGCTGGAGGCATTTCTTCGCCCGTCATATCGCCTGGTGTGGGAGAGTACTCGACACTACTGCAGGGGCTGATCCTACTCGGCATGCGACAGATCAAGCAGCTTGGGTGCAATGCATGCTTGCTCGACTATGTAAGTAGCCGCCTAATGCTGGTCACGACAAGATACTAACGCAAGTAGATGGACGGTGACGGCAACTTCGACGGCTTCTCGGCAATGGGCTTCGATGTCATGCACAACTTCGAGGAAGTCAGCTGTGATGCTGCGACCTGGACCATGATCCCGCCTGCTTGATTGCTCGGTACCTCTGCCAGATACTCATGTTCCTGGCTACTTCGGTTAATAATGTTTTGGTCGGTGTTTGGGGGTTATTTTGGGTGCGTGTGCTAGTTGCTTTTTGCTCTCCGGGACTGACTGGCATCCCATTGGTTACTTGTATCGCTCGTACCATGATCTGATGTCATACCATGCAAGCACCCTTCAGGTCGTGGGCCGTATGTACTCGGATCGGATGGTTTTCTCAAAGGGTCCGTCGGCGTTTCCGTGTACCTCGTGCTTGTCCTGCATGCATACCGCAGGATCATAATCCCAACCATTACACCCAAAGATCAGCGGTCTCTCACGCTGCAGCCCGTGGTTCTTGATTTTTGCAGCATCAGCTCTGCCGTCTGATTCAGTCTCACGGTCACTGAAGGGCTCGAAGGAGCTGCCCTTCCGACGCGCTCACTCGGCTGATCCCGCCCTGTCGCAAGGCGATCCGCGAGCTTTGGCCTGGTAGAGCTGCTGCGCCTCTCCGCTATCGAATCAATAGGCATGGCAGGTTTCGATAGACAAGCGTAGAATGCAGACACAGATGTCCTCCCGTATAGGCGACGTCGGATTAGAGGTGCCTGAGGCTTTCAGGGTTATTTTTACAGCTGGAGAGCGGGTCCATAGCTAGAGTAGGAGACGCCACTGGGGGATGGCGTAGGATGATCACCGTTCGGCTTGACCCTTCGAGAAGCCCTACCGAAGGCGTCAGCGTGCCAGCGCTGTGTGTCTCGTAGATCATAGCAAAGATATACAAAGTGTGCCTGGGAATCTTTTGCATCGTGGCCTGGGGTAGTCAAGCTTATCCTTCCCGTCAAAATCCCCTACCGAGCCCCACAGCAGACGGGACCCTTTGTGCAGCGCGCCTATCCGACCGTGGCCAGAAGCGCATGTGATGCAGATGCACTGTCGCACAACCTCAGCAAGACAGCTACGAAGGCCATCGCTTGGTCTTGTTCCCGCGAGCCACCGCTCCAAGCCCTGCTGTGCGGTCTAGTCCGGTGTCGCTCCTTGCTGTACAGTGCCAGCGCGCACGCAGTCTCGTCCCCCATCTTCTCCGCTCGCTCGCCTTGCCGCATCTCTCCACCTCTCCAACCCCAGAGCCCCAAGCGTTCCCGATTCACCACCACCACCCGCCGACTGCCACTCCCACGTGCCTGCCACTGCACCCTCGGTCGCGCCTTCCTCGTCGCCGCGCCATAGCTCTTGTTGCGCGTATGCGCCGATTCGGAAGCGACCTCTTCCTCGACCCGGGCCAGGCTGCACCAAGCCATGGAGCACTTCAACACCAACACCATGTCGTACATACCGCTCCAGACCGTCACCGGCCCCGACCAGCAGATGGCCATGCCGCTTCCGCTGCAGTATGACCAGCGCTCCAACTTCGACGCCGAGACCTTCATTGGGTAGGTGCAGTGCGCGACACCTGCCTGACAGCTACTGACATGTTTGCGCAGAAGCGAGGACGCCTACTCGACATACCACCTCCAGCAGATGCCCCCGCAGCTCAAGCGCTACCCCAGCACATACGAAGACCCCTTCTCCGACGTCCAGAGCGGCTACGAGCAGTCGATACACCCACACGATCAGAATGGCGTGCCGGAGAGTCCCAGCATCGAGAGCAACAACAAGCTCCTCAGCTTCTCGCTACCCGTCGTACCGTACACCATCCTCACATATGCTATGCAAAGGGTGTCAATATCAATGTCGGCACAGCTGCACGGCATGTTCTTTCTGGCCGAATCACCCTGGGCAACCGCAGCTGATGTGCAGGCGCCGTCGGAATTGACTTGCTACCGGAGGAACCTCTTCCAGATCACCGGCACCATCACAATTCCCCGGAGTCTGCAGTTCCTCATGACCGACCAAGGCGACCAAATACCGATTCTTGGCCAAGAACTTACCATTTCCGCAACCGAATCACTCGAGGGCAATCCCGTAAAGATAATCTCGGTCCCGTGGAAGACGCCGGCCACGGGTAGTACATCGACCGAAGACAAAACTGAGAAGGAGCCACCGACATATCCACTCGATCTGTCGACCGGACAGGACATGGACTCGGAGTATGTTAGTTTCCCTATCAGTTGGAAGCGACTGCAGTTCCGGATAGCGACTGCAAACAATGGGAGGAGGAAGGAGCTACAACAGCACTTTGTTGTGCGATTGAAGGTGATAGCAACTCTCGCTAGTGGTGTCAAAGTACCAATATGCGAAGTACACTCTGGTGCAATTATCGTGCGAGGAAGAAGCCCGCGCAACTTCCAGGCCCGCAAGGACCTGCCCATCAGTGGCGGTTCAACAGCACGCAAAGTGCACACTCCACAGCAACCCAGCAGAACGCCAACTGGCGACACGAACCAGCACACCCCGAAGCAAACACCCAACCCACCTGCGACCTCGTCCAAGCCCATGGACTTACTACAGATGCCATTCGAGTTCACTGCAAACGAAATGCCGCCCTCACCCGACTTTGACTGGAAGATACCAGCGGGTGCCATGACAGCAATACCACCCGATCCACCTTCATCTCAACTCCAACACGCCACACCATACGCCCAATCGACACCCGAGATCTCACGAAGCGTGCCCCCGCATCGCGCATCTATAGCCCCTGTCACCCTTTCCCTCACGGATGACGAGCCCCAAAAAGCACCGTCACCTAACGACCATCAAAGAAAACGCGCTACACCAATGCGGCCCCCATCCTTTTCAATCGGCATCATCAACAGCCCTGATGAGAGTGCTGATCTCCTCTATGAATACTTCCCGCTTGGTCTGGATGACTGGATGCCGCCTGTTGATGCTGTTTATCGTCCGCATGTTGTTCACCATATCACGCCCTTTCCGCAGGACTCCAAGGCAGATGCGGGGAAGAGTAGGTCGAAGAGGTACTTTTCGGACGCTTGGGGTTGAGACTTGTTGTTGTGGGTTCTTTTTCTTTGTTATGATACCCTTTGCGTTGATTCGTTTGGATCATTTTGTAATACTTTTATGAGGAAAAGAATGGCAGTTGGTGTAAAGAGTTATTTCCAGGTACGGAAGAGTCTTGGGTTGGGAGCTTGGGGACATTGAATAAGAGAAGGCAGGTATCAAGCTGGGCGTACACCTGCGCTATGGACTGGGCGTTCACCTTACCATCATGGCACTCCGTGATTGATATTTGAATTGTGCTGTGCCGTCATGACAAGGTGAACGCACAGTCCGTGGCACGACATCTTTCGGCCTACCGTCACATCTCTTGGACCTTGTACGACGGCGATATTTACCCCTTCTCGGCACGTTATTACTATACCATTCTGTTCTCATGTCACATCACTCCCAACTGTATCCATATCCACGTATCCATCACACATCTCCTGATATTCACTCGGCCTTTCATCTCTCGCGACACTTTCCCACTGGCGCAACGTCACCTCGTATATGTCGTCTCCCTGTCACGGCGGCGTCCCTGTCGCTTACTCACCATGAGTAGACACGATACACAACATCCACACCGCAGGAATGTAACAATAGCAACCCCATCAGCACCTCGTCAGCGATCGGCGAGGTAGTAGACTACAACCTTCCCTATCGAAGAAACATGACATCTACATGGCATATGTCACATCGCATCGCACCCACAACCCCAGATCTACCGACCTCGCCGACGTAGTCGCAGTTACAGACATGCATCTAAACCACGCACTGCAACGCCACCGTTACCGTTACCGTTACCGTTACCATCCACCCAACCCTACTGCAACTTACCACTCTACGCGCATCCACCCCTCATCGTTGCCGACGTCGTCTTGCGTCGTGCCGCACCGTGATATCTCCGGGCTTAGTTTTCGACCGAGTTCGGGGTTGATCGTTGACATTGACAGTGACGTTGACGTTGGCGTTGATGTTGGGGTAAGGATTGGAGTAGGATTGGGGTGAGGGGTGTGGAGGAGTGGAGGAGTGTAACAGTAGCATTACATTGCATATGCCAATCCCCATTACCACCACTACCACCATTACCATCGTTATCAGCGGAAGAAATGCGTCTTCCGACCGGCCGAACATGTACCGTGAGAAATGCCGAAGATACAATCCCGAGACTTCCGTGAGAGGCGGGATGTTGTGTGATAGATAGATGGGTTTATCACGATGTAGCATTCGGGATACAAGACTGAATTGATAAAGACTGAATTGATAGCGCATGCCACCATATACTCCCTTGCCCTCAAAAAGGGTAATGACTAGCAACCTCGGGAAGTGGGTCCAGCATCCTTCTGAACTATTGCGCAATTTCACAGTTTGCAGATTTCGCAGCAACGGTACCCACCACGTGGCTTATCGTATCTCATTACCCTGGCATCCTACTATGGACCCCTACATCCACATCCTCCTATCTACGTTACGTTCTAGAATCCTATTCGGTTTTCTTTGGTTGGCGGAGACTCGGTACCGAGTTGGGTTTGGTCTGGTTTGGTTTGCCCCGTTTTGCTTGACAGGGGTTGGGGACGCGGTATTGGAAGGTGGGTAGGAGGGGCGGCGGTGCGTCGTGGGTAAGGTAGGAGTGGGCTTGCGTTTGGTGGAAAGATAGGGGTGGAGGTGGATTACGTACGATTATCGTATTTGGGTGTTCTAGAAGAACGGGTGCCGGTTTGTGGCTTTGGATGGATTTGGTGATTGAGTCCGTACTTGCTGGTGTGCTCTCCCGCCTGTTTCTCGAAGGAGTTTGCATCACGTGCTGAGCATGAAGAAGGAGGGAATGTGGATTAGAACATGTTTCATTAGGTCGTGCGCATGCCGGAAAGCGTGCGATGCCATGTATCCTCAGAAAACGCCAAAAGGGAACCGTGTAATGAAGCTCCCCATATGCTCTTCGTAAATGTCTCCATGCTAGGCTGTAAAGTGTTTCTAAATTGAGAGAAGAGAAGGAAAGAACATCTTGAGAATGTATGTACAATGATGTTGCTCGAAGGGTATGAAGTGCAAAGGCTACAGCTTGCTGTTCACTGTCCCTCAAGACAGCAGACAGAAACAGCCGCGCCGTAGATAGCCGACTCAACCGCAATCTCCAAAGAAACGGAATTTGGCTCCGCTCCTGATGCAGCAGTCAGCTCGTGGAGATGCGACTGGCACAGCTCTCTGAAACAGGGATACTTTTCGATGACAGAGCCGTTGCAACCAATGCTCATCCGACCAGCGGATGCAGGAGTCAAACCCTCTGACTCCGTTCTAAGTGCCCATAATGCGTGGATACCGGTGGCGAGAAAGGCGGCTGCGCGATGCGAAACGAGTTGCGAGACTTGGCGGACGAATTGGATATCGTTGTAGGTGGGTGGCTTGCTGAGAGGGTGTTTGGACTGAAAGAGGGCTGTGGCGCTGGTCAAATGTTTTGAGTCATCCATCTCCATGGCGGCGATGGTGCCGGTGTCGAGGGTGTAGGTCTCAGCTAGTTGATCGGGGATTTCTCCGCTGAACAGGCCGGCTTTTTGAACGGCTTCTACTAGGATCAATCGAACGATCTCTCCGATATATCGACCACTGATCATGTGCTCGAAAGGTTGGAAGTCGGGTCGCATGTGCGCTTCGTTTAGCTGTTCGTCCCATCTTGTTGTGGGGAAGACACCTTTGCCGAACATGCTACACTCGGTGTTGACGAGTACGTGCGTAGCTTCATCTAGCCAATGCTGAGGATAGCCCCTGTACTTGGTAGTCGCAAGTGATGAGACGGGCAGGTGTACGGATATGTTAAACCCTGTCCCGAGGATTACAGCAAAACGCGTCGAAGGGTCTTCGTAGGCACGTGACAGTAAGGTCGCTGATGAGTCGTTGATGATAGAGTCCATGTGTACGGGCAGGCCCTTGAAGGCGTCAGTGATTGCAGATTCTGGGTGAATAACCAAGTCTTACCCTCTTTCTGCATGGTGCCATGATCAACTCGCTCAAATCTTGACCAAGAACACCCTCTGTCGCAAGGAACCCTTTTCCCATGGCTAGTAGATTTGCGCTTCGACTGGATGTTTGCCTGGAAACAGTCAGTCAATGCAATACCGCACACGTGGTGGTAACATACTCAACAGGAAATGACCACGCCAGACCCATAGGAAAGCTCCTCGTGTCGGTTGAGTTTCGCAGAAGAGGATCTGCAAGCGCATCCTGAATCTTCTCGGCCATCCACTCAAAGAAGTCGTTGCCTCTTCTTTGCCTGACCTTCTCGTCGATCTTGTAGCTCTTCATGACCACGATGCGCATGTTCTTGGCGTCTGGTTGTCTACCATTCAGCTCCACCAGTGCGATACGGAACGTTGAGCCGCCGACATCGAGAGCCAGATATGTCCCCTTTTCAAATCCAGAAGGCAGCTTGTGGTTGTATGAGGGCAACATGCAGATATCGCTCGACTGCAACTTGGGGGCGAACTGCGCTTGCAGCCTCGTAGACATGTCTAACATCTTGGCAGTTGCGAGTGGTGCCTCTAACAGGCGTTGAATCTCGCGAAGTAGGTCGTCCATTGTGCGGTCGTAAGTCCTGAGTCCATCCCGTACACGTCTTCTTGAAGTTGTTGACGGGAGCACAGAGTGCAGCAGCGATGGTAGCATGGTGATTCTGTCGAGAGCTGCGAGAAGCCCTTCCCAGAAATCAAGCATGAATTGTTTGTACCAGCAACGATTGTTGTTTTCGATTGACGCTTGATGCAAGTCACGAGAGTTGTTTGACTCTGGAACGAGGGTGACGCGGCCGCTCTTGCGCTTGAGTCGAAGAGGTGGCATGGAGGGGCACGGGGAGTCCGGCAGACGGTGACGATGGTATGACTTGCGAACGAATGTTGTTTGTAGACGCTCTATTAAATCGCAAATGTCCAGCGAGAGTGTTCAAAGTCTGAAAATGTCGTAGTGAACGGAGACTAGACGCGGGCCGGGAGCATTAGTGAACCGATGTCGCAAAAGGCTCTTAAGCATAGTTGTATGGCTTGTCAGAACATCAAAGAGGTTGTATCCACTAGCGAACGTAGTTAGGTATTGCTCCGGGGACTGGTATGCGAGGCCTGCTGCTGGGGCACGGCAGGCAAGCACGTATGGGCGATCGCGGGGGCCAAAGAGGAAATGGAAACAGGGAAGGAAGCCGGAAGGGCCTGATGTATTGGCGGTGGGCGGCAGTCAACAGCGTGTCGCTGGCGCCAGGCACGCTGGATGGATATGCGGAAACATGGCGTTGCTGGCATGTCGAGGGTTGGTGGGGTCTCGTAGAAGTTTGACGAGCGGCCATTGCTACGGTACGGTTACATCTGCTGGGCGGCGACGTCCACTAGCGCATTGGGACGCGAATCCTGCCGTAAGCGTTTACGATGGGACTTCGGTGGACGACTTAGCCGCGGTATGATTCAACCATATTGCAGGCTTTATGCGCCGGTGGCGATCATCGCAGAGCTTCACGTGGGCTCCAAACGGAGCAGCCAGTAAGACCAGACGGCGTCTGATGCATGACGAGCGGAGAGCACGTGCCTTCCGCTGTCTAGTGCCAAGGCTCGATCAGATCTGACTCGCAACTTCGCGGCCGTTGAGTCTCTGAATACTTTCAACCCCAATGGAGAGTTCAACATTAAAGATAGTCTATGTAGCGCTTACTCAGCGCACTTAGGCTTCCTGTATGATAGCTGCTCGAGCATCACGGGAATAGATGACACCACATACCTAGCGCACTTGCTGCACGACTCCGTTGTAACCGTCACTTACCTCGTGGCTCTCCTCGGCATGTCGATCCCGCGAGGGTGGATTCGAGAACTCGTGAGGCCCCGTTGAAACATCGTATCCGGAGAGGCGTGGGTCGCGGTCTAGCAGGTCTATTATCAGGCGTCCTGGGCAGTGGCAACCTCGGTCCGGCTCGGTGACAGATGCATCGTAAAGCTTGGTAGTCTGGAAGGGGCTATCAGCTGTCGGTAGAGTTAGTCCCGTGATAGCTTTGATACGATGGGGCATGTGTAGGGCAAAATATTGTCTCGGAAGAGGATTGGGTTCTTTGCGGCGCGTACGTGTCAGGTCGTGTTGGGGCGTAGGTTGCTGACCTTGTCCTGCGCATTTCACTGGTCCTCCAAATTCTTCGGTAACAGACGCTCGGTACTTTGTTGGTTTTCGTTGGATGTCAGCGAGATGAAACGGCTGTTGTGTACCACGCCGTCCACGCCGTGACTGTGCCACATCCACACTGCATACCCTTGCACCAACAATCAACTTTGAGCATGTGAATAATGAAAGTAGATGTTCATTCGTTAGGAACATCGGGAATTGCTGTTCGTAGCACTATCACGAAACGACCCTATTCCCGCCATGCAACTCGAGCCCAGGTATCATAAACTAACAAGTACCGCTGAAGAACACCGTCATTACCCATGAAGTCCCAATCATGAAAACCGTGCAAAGACCTGACTAGACCTTCTCGGCGTCACCAGGCGTTGAGTGAACAACCGCCTTGGGGGCGACTTCCGCCACTGTCTCGTCGGTGAAAGCAATGTCCTTCTCAATGGCAACGGTATCCTCAACCTTCCAGAGAATGACAGGTAGAGCAACAACCAAACTGCCTGCGAGCAGTCCCCAGTTGCTAGCAAACATGGTCATGAAGGGAATCTTGGTATCGTCCAAACGCCATGTGATTGCACCTCCAGCGGACTGGATGCCCTTGTAGAAACCAGCGAAGTTGGCGAGCTTGCGGCTGTTGTTGGTCAGAGCACCCATGAACCTGGCGTTTGTTAGCATTACGACCTAGACATGTTGGAGCTTGATTGGAACTTACCAGTAGACTGATGTTTGCCAGGCGGCATCGGAAAATCCGTAGAACATGTAGAGGACGAAGGGGCCGGCGTAACCTGCGTCAGACCAGTCCTTCTTCTCGTTTGTCTCGTCCTCTGCCCAGGCGCGGTCGTAGGTCTTCTGGAACATGTATCCAAAGCCCCAGATAATCATGATAGTGGCGAAAAGCACACCCCACGCAGCCTTAGCACGGGTGGTACGGCGGACACCCTTAATGTCGAGCGCGTAGCCAAAGACGTAGGCACCAACAATCTGCATGATGTAGTAGACGACGCCGTTGAGCGCGCGGGTGCGGACGTTGAAGTATGCAGCATTGATCTCGGTGAAGTGATAGGTGTAGAACCAGTTGGATGCCAGGAACATGGGGAAAAGAAGGATGATGTACGGGTCGGTGAAGAAGGTTTGGTAGAGACCAACGATTTCTGACTTCCACGACGGGTGCTTCATGACGATGACCTTGGAGCCATCATCGCGGATGACGTCCTTTGCGTCGACGAGGGTCCATGAGAGAGCAGCACCGAGGATCGTGAGGACAAGGAAGCCGACGTAGGTGCCGTCGTTAACTGTGCCGGCAGTCTTGGTGTTGATGTTCTGACCCAGCGGAATCTGGTAGAGTTAGCGTCAAGTTCACGACTAGACTTCTCAGGGTCTCAGAGTAAAGTAAACATACCAAACTGCCGATAACAGCGCCAAGGTTGAAGATCATCCAGAACCACGAAATGTAGCGACCCTTGGAATCCTCTGGCGGGTACGACATCATGATGGCACCTAAAGATGAGTGTACGAAGTCAGTATTTGTCTCACATACAGTTCGTACATGGATATTACTAACCCTGCGCACACCATAGCAGACCAGCGCATACACCGAGAAGTGCACCGGCAAAGGTAGTGAAGCCCAGATTCTGCGTGTGGTTGTAGCACAGGTAAGAGGCAACGTAGATGGAGTATCCGACGCCTCCAAACGACAGAGCAGTGCGAATGCCAAGCTTGTTGGTAAATGTGCCGGCAAAGAAGCCGACAACAGCAAAGGTCGAGTACAAAGCCGTGTTGGCCCGGTTGTTGGCAGTCGGGTCAAGTTGACCGCCACCACCCATGCCGTTCAGAGCATTGAACATGCCCGGGCACATGAAGCAGACGAAGGAGACAATGACCAGCTGAACGGGTGGTGACGCGAACCATGGCAGCTTGAAACCGAGAATGGTGAAGCGTCTGTATTTCCACGAGGCAGGGAGCTCATTTGAGTTGGTGTCAGTCAATGAGTGCTCTGGAGAGTTGACGGCGTGCGGAGGCTGTTTTTCCTCGGTGGTCGCCATGTTGATGCCCGTGAGTGTGGGTGTTATGCCGGCGATTAGCGCGCGATTCGGAGTTGAGCCTTGCGACAGACGGAGATGTGCACGTCGTCGTTGATGCAGAAGGTGAGAGCAGACAGGCTACAATAAAGATACTAGATGCTCGCGCTCAGACCACACGACGGTAGCAGCAGACTATAATTAAACGAGGGTTTGGATACGAAGGTGAAGGCGAGGGGCAGTCAGTTTTAAGCAGACCGTCAGCTAGGGTCCTCACACGGTCCATTCACGACCAAATCTCCCCAGCCAACCTGCATCGGGGTAGCGAGGCGGACACAGCACGCGACACAGCCTGGCCTCCACAAAGAGATAAACGACTGCAAGCCCACACAAAGGTGACAGCCGTCGGCCAAGGAATCGCTGGCGCAGGCTGACACTGCACAAAGGGCAACAAGCATCCGTGTTCCGCAGCGCCAGCCGTATGTACAACGCCGTCAGCAGCCTTGAGCGCCGGCTACAGGTGCCCGGACTCTGGCCGTCAGTGGTTCTCGGGACAGCCATCGAAGGTCAAAGCGGGGCGTTGCAGGCCTGCTTATCGACGATGCATGGATCTGCATGCGCCTGCGACCACATTGTTGGTTGAGCCCCCGGTCCTGGGCTGAGTGGGCTGCGCGAGCTAGAAGACGCCCACTAGAGCCACAAGTGCAACGCTCTCCGCCCGCCACCACCCGAGTCAGAAATGTAACATTGTCCTTTTGCGACTCCATCAGCACGCCGGCCTTATCAGTGACGCCTGCTATCGTGATGTTCGTTGCTGGCTGCCCGTGACGGCTAGTTTGCGGCCCACGCCCGGCTCAGTTCCCACTGCTATCACACGCGACGGTGATGACCACGCCCCGCCATGCTCCTGTAACATTGCACATGGCAGTGAACGGGGGTCCACGGCCCAAGGTGGTGCAGATAGGCGCGTTGTACCACTACGTTCACTCTCAACCGTCCATTGCATGACGCACCGCGACCATGCGGACCGATACAGAGAGCGCTGCAGAGAACGTGTTCAGATGCGGAAAGTTGGGCCGTTGTCATTTCGATGAAGAGACGTTGGATGATGATCGAGCTCACGATCCTACCTTGCCCCAGAATGACGTGAAGCTGTTCAAGTCCTCATAGAAATCGCCCTCATCCCGCTGCAGGAATGACCTTGGACCCCTCACTCCGCACACAGTCCTTGCAAGTGGCACAAACAATACATACATCATGTATGAGCATGCACACCTTTGTTTTCTGACACCCGGCTTACCGCTTATAGGCGGCTAATCATTCGAGACGATCCGAGGGCTGCGTCCCAATACATCGCCGACTATGTCATTGGTGCATTCCTCGCTCCTTCGTTGTGTCTTAATATCGACTAACGCCGCAGCATAGAGCGCATCAACACCTTTGCCCCAACACCAGAAAGACCCTTTGTCTTAGGTCTGCCTACTGGGAGCAGCCCTGTCCTGATCTACGAGCATCTTGTACAGCGCCACAAAGCGGGTCAAGTCTCCTTCCGCAATGTGGTCACGTTTAATATGGTACGAACTACCGCCCTGCATATGGCGCCGCACCCTTGCGTCCAATGTCTCACAGCAGCGTGATATAGAGTGATGCTGACCCAATCAGGACGAGTATGTCGGCATCCCGCGTGATCACCCCGAGAGCTACCACAGCTTTATGTATAAGCACTTCTTCTCCCATGTCGACGTGAAACCCGAGAACATCAATATCCTCAACGGGAACGCACCTGACCTGGAAGTCGAATGCCATGACTACGAAGAGAAGATCCAACGTGCTGGTGGCATCGAGCTGTTCCTCGGCGGCATCGGGCCAGATGGACACATTGCCTTCAACGAGCCTGGTTCCAGCCTCAAGTCTCGGACCCGCGTGAAGACTCTTGCATACGATACCATTCTGGCCAACTCAAGGTTCTTCGGAAACAACCTCGATCAGGTGCCGAAGATGGCATTGACCGTGGGCGTGCAGACTGTTCTTGATGTAAGTCACACCAACATGTCCATCAACAGAGTCTAACGTTCCTCAGGCGCGCGAAGTCGTGATCATCATCACAGGCGCACACAAGGCCCTAGCTCTTCAGCGGTGCATCGAAGGCGGCGTGAACCACATGTGGACGCTGTCCAGTCTCCAGATGCACCCGCACCCGATGATTGTCGTCGACGAAGACGCCACCCTAGAGCTGCAAGTCAAGACCGTCAAGGTACGCCCATCGACACCCTTCTCTTCTAGTCGTCAACTAACACCCTCAGTACTTCAAGAGCATCGAGCGCGTAGGCTCCGAACTAGGCATGCGCCAGAAGCTCCCCAGAAAGCGCGACTCGCTTGTCGACGAGGGGACCCTGCTAGCCCCTGACCAGCCAAACGGTATCAGATTGACTGTGCCGCAAGTTGATCTCTCCCGTTCAGCAAGTCCCGTGCTGGAGCCAATGAGCGCCCGTCTCTCCGACGACGAGGCAAGCGCTTTGCAATTGCGTTCCATGGAATCGGATTTGGACGATGTCGCTGATCAGCCCTCGGTCCGAATGAGCGCTCGCGTCGCTAGCTAGCACCTCTACCACTGTTTCGAACCCGACAGGCTGTGGAAATTGGATGGACGCCGTTTTTTGTGCCTTTGTTTGCTTTTAGGGGAGACCGCTAGACTGGTTCTTGGGTCGGAGACGAGTTTCCTGTTCGAGATGGTGTTGCTGCGAGTGCATTGTGGCACGGTCATCGGAAGCGTCCAGCAGCCAGGTCTGGTTGCAGCCGCTCAATAGTCTGGCTATAGTTGTTTGTTATTATAGGAGAATTGCTGCGACGTCATGGAGGAATCTGCGAGCGATGGCAGATTCACTGTTGTGCGGAGTTGCTCGTGGCGGAAGGCACCATCGTTAGCATGAGTGCTGGGCATCGGATAAGGGAATGGCGTGTCAAATACACTGAAATACCAATCTAGTCTTCAAGTCCAATTGCATTAGCTTGATTCTTAGAAGGCGTTTATGTGTTCGTGTTATCGGATGAGTAGATTTACTCAGGTTTACCGAGTGGTAGACGTCGGAGCATGTCACGTACAAACATGGCATTTCGTAGCTGGCTCGTCTCTGTGTGTTCAAGAGAAGGAAACATGTGACAGGAAGCGGAGAGTGTGTGCAACTGGTGATGGATTGATGGCAGGCCTAGAACGTCATTGGCGGCGGGTGGGGGCGCGTCATCCCGGTTCAGATCTCCAGATCCCCTCGTACCAAAATAATCCCGCCGCATCCTCCATGTGAAAGCCCACGCGCCGGTAGCCATGTCTTTCGTGGTTGAGTAAGTTGGAGTGTTCCAATCGATACAGCCCGGTATAGCTAATACGGTGTCAGCCAAGTGCGTCGAATTGACAGCCAGCTCGACCGGCTGCAGCTGTCGGCGACACGACAAGGCAGCTTCTCCATCACCGCCGAGGAAGCCCACGACCCCACCAAGACGACACGAATCGCGCACCTGCAGTACCTCATCAAGTCCCTCTCCACGACCGCGTCATCCAAACACAGCCTTGTGTCCATCGCACGCATATCCGAGACGCTGCAGCGTGCCAACATCGCCAGCAGCTACGAGGATGCGAGCTACGAACATGAACTGGAATGGCTGCTAGTCAGCAAGGCCACGACACAGGTCTACGGACAGGTCCTGAATACGATATTGGAACAGACTATACCATTGGAAGACGACCTGTGGTACTGGGATGACATCCTCTCCACCTACCGATTCGCTGGGCTATACTCGATACAAACATCGCCGGTTCGGGTGTGGAAATGGTCGCAGGAGATATATCGCGATGTGCGGTCGAGGGGCGGACAATTGGCTGATGGGTGGAGCCAGTTTTACGGCCTTGTCAAGGATGCGGTGCAAGAGCGCAGCATTGCCAACATCCAGCGAAGGGTCGTGAGCCCGTTGGCGCTGGTCAGGAACGAAGGCAGGAGGAAGCGCGCAGCGTTGAGGAAGATACGGCTCATCAATGCGAATGCGCTCGGTGTGCTTCTAGGCGAAGGGCTGGGTAATGAGAGGTTTGCTATCAAACATCCGCGAAGACCGTGAGCGACTGCTGACCATCCCAGTGTACACGACGATGGCACCCAATCTCCCCCACTGCTCGGCGCACAAAGCGGACATAGATGGAAGAGCGTCATGGCTAAGAACATCGCCCTGATGGACGCAGTCATCCAAAGTGTGAACGCTGCAGAGATATCCGTTAATAAGTTTGACGATTCTGTTGCTGGCATTACTCAAGACGATCAACTCTACTCGCTGCACGAACCCACTGGAGAACGAACGGCAACCACACTCAAGCCAGCGGACGTAGCAGAGCGACTTCAGTACCTGCTCCAGGAAGCATTGCCCACCTACACCGCAGACTTCAACGCTGTCGTCAAGGAGAACGGACGTCCATCTCTCCTTATCCGCTATTGGCTACCGGCCACCATGCTCCTCGTATCCTCGACCACTATCCTGCGTATATTTGTCAACCGAAAAGAAGAGATTCTGGCCTGGGTACGCGAACTAGGACAGACTGTAATCGACTTCTGGACAAATTGGGTCGTGGAGCCCGCAATGAGGATCATTGGTACCATCCGCCACAATGAAGATAGCGAGGTTTCCATCATGAGCAAACGAAGCTTGGAGTCTGACCGCGCAAGCCTTGAGCGCATGGTCATTGACTTTGCGGTGAAGAACCCTGAAGGCCCCGCCTTGAACGAGACTCAAATTGCCGATATCAGGGCGAAGGTCCGCGAAGGCGATCTGACCACGGTCTTGAGATCTTACGAAAAGGACATCCAAAGTCCGGTCAAGGGTGCGATAGTTGGTAACCTAGCTAGCGCACTGCTCATTCAGGTGCAGAAGACCAAGGTCGATGTGGAAGTCGCGATGAGCGGTATTGACAGCATTCTCAAGAGCCAGGAGTTGCTCTTTGGCTTCATCGGTCTGACGCCTGGTGTTCTCGTCAGTATCGGCGTCTACCGATACCTCCGAGGCGTCTTCAGCAGCCGTAAAGGCGTCCAGATGTGGGCGAGGCAGGGCCGCATGCTGCTCATCCTGCGCAACATCGATCGCATCCTTACCAGCGCAACACCCACAGAAGACGGCGAAATTTCCTACAAGGATCACGGTCTCCTCCTCTGCGAAGTGCATCTCCTGCGACAGGCTGCGAGTGGCATACTACCCCGACGCATCTTCCACGACTTCCTGGTAGAGATAGATGAGCTTGTTGACGTGAGAAGTGGGCTGCAGCGACAGCAAAAAGTAGTTGAGCGCATTAGGTGGGCGTACTCGAAATGGTTTACTTGAGGGCATCTTTGCAACTGGGATGATCCAGTCACAGCGCATTTATGATCAGCGTACATACCCACTTCAATACAAACATACGAAGAAGCTTGTAATTTTAGAACCGTGTTCTCAATAGGTGCAGGCGGAACATGACAGATCAGATGTCTACTATCCAAGACTAGCTCAACAAGTATCGTGTGGGTATGTACCGAGGCGCAAAACAAAACCTGGAAATGAGGCTCTTCAACGCCAGCACATGACCGTGTCTCGTGTGCTGGGTCGTGATGCCGGTAGTGACAGCCGAGTCAAGGCAGATGCGCAGTTGCCACCAAGCCAGCCGCCTCTCGTCACTCGCAGACGACAGCTGCAGTGACGGAGGTGGTGAAGCCCGTGCGGACTATTGGCGCTAACGTCCAACGTTGGCCAGCACCTGTGAACTCGCTCCCACGCCGTTTACTTCGCTGCCTGCTGTTAGCCACACAGCAACATTCACCCCAAGCCCGCCTGTTCTCACGCATACTCTCTATCATCAGGCTCGAGTCTAACACCGCCATTCTTCCGCAACCACGCAACCACCGCCAGCTCCACCGCACACCCCAAACCGGCGGGCGCCAACTCCGCAACCACCTCCGCTCGATAACGCATCCCACGACTCTATATCAAGATGGCTGGCTCCAGGAATTATGACTTTCTCGTAAGCTTCGCCCTATGCCTCTTTCTGACATGCGCCTGCCCAGCTTCCGCATACATGCTGGACCCTGAACGCCCCTCCACCGCCTATACACAGACCCACACTAACAACCTCCCCCGCGTAGATCAAACTACTCCTCATAGGCGACTCGGGCGTAGGCAAATCGTGCTGCCTGCTGCGCTTCAGCGAAGACTCGTTCACGCCCTCGTTCATCACCACCATCGGCATCGACTTCAAGATCCGCACCATCGAGCTCGACGGCAAGCGCGTGAAGCTGCAGATATGGGATACCGCTGGCCAAGAGCGCTTCCGGACCATTACCACGGCGTACTACAGAGGTGCCATGGGTATCCTGCTAGTTTACGACGTCACGGATGAAAGGAGCTTCAACAGTACGTCCCGCCGCCCACCCACACACCTTCTATCATCCCAGCTTAACAGGCCGGAATGTCTCAACAAAGAAAACACTAACACCACCCAGACATCCGCACATGGTTCTCCAACGTCGAGCAACACGCCACCGAAGGCGTCAACAAGATCCTCATCGGCAACAAGTGCGACTGGGAAGAGAAGCGCGCCGTCTCCACAGAACAGGGCCAGGCCCTCGCCGACGAACTCGGCATCCCCTTCCTCGAGGTCTCGGCCAAGAGCAACATCAACGTCGACCAGGCGTTTTACAGTCTCGCCGGCGACATCAAGAAGCGCCTTATCGACACCGCCAGGACGGATCAGACGGCTGCCCCCAAGGTCGATGTTAGCGGGCAAGGTGACGGAAACGCGGGTATGGGCGGAAAGTGCTGCTAGAAAGGAGGAGTAGTTGGAGAAGGGAAGGAGTAAGAGGAGATGGACATTTTGGACTGAGATTGTCAGGCACACAGGGGCAGTGGTTATGCTATGGATGCGAATGACAGACATGCTACGGCTTTGATCTGATGGGAGCAAGAAGCAAGCTTGGGTCCGAGGGTACGGAAGAGACGATCGCACGAAGACGATGCTTACACGACTGAATATCCGCTCGAGCGAGTCCCTTTTGGGTAGCATCAACCTCTTTTTCTTAACGAGTTTGTGTTACAGGCGTTGGTCTCTTTTTTTTTATCCGGGTTCCAAAGAGAATGGGAGTACCTACCTTTATTTTACAATTACGTATTGTAATGCCAATTGTATATGCACGGAGTCTTGTCTGCAGGGTGTTGAAATGGGGTGTTGACAGTCTTGTGCATCTTGGGAAGGTATGCGAAGTAAAGAACGATACTGATTGCTAACACTTGTCTAGTTATAACACGAAGTAACGATACTGACATACACACCTCCCCGCCTATCTTGACTTTTGAAACGAAACACAACAACACTAGAAGAAAGCACACCACCCAATATACATACTCGCCAAATTCATCGGATCCATCGCCATAGCAATAAGCGCATCAACATAGCCCTCCACACTCAACGGCACACTCTCCCCCTTGAGATACCCATTCACCTTCGTGCGCGTAATATCCAGCACCTCCTGCGGCGTATCCGGGACGCCAACAATCTTCTTACGACGCTTGCCTCCCAGGAAATCGGCCGTAGGATCGT